CTCAGATGTCCTCCTTGAGGTCTGGCTGTCCCTCCCTGGGGTTTAGGAAGCCCTGCTCGGGGTTGGGATGCTCTCCTCGAGGTCTGGAATGCTCTTCTTAAGGTTGGGATTTCCTCCTCAGGGGCTGGGATACCCTTCTTGGGGTCTGGAATATCCTCCTTGGAGTAGGATGCCATCCTTAAAGGCCGGCATTCCCTCCTCAGAGGTTGGGATTCCCTTCTCAGGAGTTGGGATACCCTCCCTGAGTGCTGGCATGACCTTCCCAAGATCTTGGATCCCCTCCTGGAGATGTCCTGCTTGGAGCTGGGATCTCCTGCTCCTCCTCCTCCAGACCAGGCTGTCCTCCTCAAGGTGTGGGATTCCCTTCCAGGCTCTGGGATTCCCTTTCCGGGCTCTGGGATTCCCTTTCCGGGCTCTGGGATTCCCTTCCCGGGCTCTGGAATTCCCTTCCCGGGCTCTGGGATTCCCTTTCCAGGCTCTGGGATTCCCTTCCCGGGCTCTGGGATTCCCTTCCCGGGCTCTGGAATTCCCTTTCCAGGCTCTGGAATTCCCTTCCTGGGCTCTGGGATTCCCTTCCCAGGCTCCAGCACGCTCCCCTCGAGTTCTGGGACATCCTCCTTGGGGTTGGGACACCCTTCTGGAGAGCTTGGATGCCCTCCTGGATACTTGAATTCCAAGCAGGAGCAGAATCCAACCCTGGTTCTCTCCATGGGGGACATCTCAAGAGCAGCCCTGGAATTCTTGGGGCAGACAAAGGAGTTCCTCAGCGGGATGAGCGTTTTTGGGGTTTTTTTTTCCGTTTGTTTTGTTTGTTTTTCCAAGCAGCATTTTGGTTCCCTCCGAGGGATCCAGTTCTTGTAGCAAACCCGGGAATTACGGAAGCTTTTTTTGAAGGTGCCTATTGAAATTTGCTGAAATTACTCAGGGGAGACACCACTAGAAACTCTTGGTTTCTTCATCAAATATTCCTAAATCCAATGACTGTCCTGAAGGATCAGTTCCCAAGAGAGAAGGAACAAAATCCCGACACGCCGAAAGATGAGGAGACTGGAAGAGGACAAGAGGTTCTTGAGGAATTTCACGGGGCTGGCTCTGACCTTCAGTCTTCACCACAAAGCACCCCACAGCACGGCTGGGGTTTTTATAGGATTATTTCTTGGCAAAACACAGAATTCCACGACGCACAGAGCACAACAAACCCACCTGGGCTTCTCCTGGTGGCACCGGGAATGAAGAACCAGCTCAGCCGCAGCGGAACAAACCCAAACCTGAAGGAAAAGACTGTTGGGATGAAGCTGTTCCCTCCACAAACCCAACCCCAAACCTGGGGCTCCAGAAAATCCAACCTGGGAGTCCTCAACCCCAAATCTGGGGCCCACAAATCCACATCTGAGGAATCCAGTCCCAAGGGTCCACAAATCCAAGTCCTGAGGCCCACAACCCCAATTCTGGGGTTGCATAACCCCAAATCTGGGGGCCCAAAAACCCAAACTCGGTGTTCCATAACCTCAAATCTGCGGTTCCACCAACCCAAATCTGGAGGTCCACAACCCCAAACCTGGGGTTCCACCAACCCAAATCTGGAGGTCCACAACCCCAAACCTGGGGGTCCACCAACCCAAATCTGGGGTTCCACCAACCTGGAATTCCATAACCCTGAAGTTCCACAACCCCAAACCTTGGGATCCACAAATCCCCAAACTTGGGAGTCTACAAACCGGACCTGCGGGTCTACAAACTCCAACTTTGGGGTCTACAAACCCACACTTGGGGTTCCACAACCCCAAAACCGTGGCCAGCAGGACTCTGTGCTGTGGCCAGTTCACCCGGCGCCGCCACAACTTCGGCGCCATCGTGACGGGGACTCGGAGCTGCTGCCGTGACTTCTCCAACTCCAAACCACCCGGAAGGGAATTGGCTGGATCCCGCTGAGCTGGGATGGGGAAAAGCTCCACCTTTCCCCCCGGGAAGGACAAAGGATGAAATCCTGCTCAGAGGAGGCTGTGATTCCGGGATGGAGACCTCTGGGAATGTGGGATGCCCTGAGCCTGAGGTGGTTTGGGGAATAAACTCCCATTCCCAGATCCTATCCCTATTCCCACTTCCCATTTGCAGTTTCTCATTCCCAGTTCCTATTCCCAGTTTTCCATTCCCAGTTACCAGTTCCCATCCCCATTCCCAGTTTCTCATTCCCAATTTCCCATTCTAAGTTCCCATTCCCAATCTTATTCCCAGTGCCCATCCCCATTCGTATCCCCATACCTGGTTTTCCATTCCCAGTTTTCCATTCCCAGATCCTATCCCCATTCCCACTTCCCATTCCTAATTCCCATCCCCGTTCCTGTCCCTGTTTCTAGTTTCCCATTCCCATCCCCATTCCAACTTCCCATTTCCAGTTCCCAATTCCCCATTCCCAGTTCCCATCCCCATATCCTATCCCATTTCACAGTTCCCATTCCCCATTCCTAATTCCCAGTTCCTATTCCCAGTTCCAGTTCCCATCCACATCCCCATTCCCACTTTTCCATTCCCCGTTCCGTTTTCTATTCCTAGCATTCCATTCCCAGTTCCTATTCCCCATTCCCAGTTCCCCATTCCCAGTTCCCATTCTCATTCCCAGTTCCCATTCCCAGTTCCCATCCCCAGTTTCCATTCCCATTCCCAGTTCCCCATTCCCAGTTCCCATTCCCAGTTCCCATTCTCATTCCCAGTTCCCATTCCCAGTTTCCCATTCCCAGTTTTCCCATTCCCAGTTTCCCATTCCCAGTTTTCCCATTCCCAGTTCCCATTCCCAGTTTCCCATTCCCAGTTCCCATTCCCAGCTCCCATTCTCATCCCCAGTTTCCCATCCCCAGTTTCCCATTCCCATTCCCATTCCCATTCCCATTCCCATTCCCATTCCCATTCCCAGTTCCCATCCCCAGTTTCCCATTCCCATTCCCATCCCCAGTTCCCATTCCCAGTTCCCATTCCCAGTTCCCGTTCCCCTGAGTGCTGAGACAGGAACCACCAGCGGCTGGGACTCGATGTTCCCTCCCGAGCCCGGAGCAATTCCAGGAGGCCGGCGGGAATCACGGCACGCAGGAGCCCACGAGGCCCAACCCGCCGCGGCCGGGGCCGGATTTTGGACTCTCCGCGAGGGAAAGCATCCCAAAAGGAAAAGCTTTCCACTCCTCCAAGCTGCCGCTCTTCCCTCCGCCCTCACCGCCTCCATTCCGACGGGAAAACTCCGAATGGTCCCAGACACGGAGCGGGAGTGTGGGCAGCGCTGGGAGCTGAGCGGGACGTTCTGCTCCTGCCGTGGGCACGGCTCCCCGCCCGCTCCGCGCTCCCTCCGGCAGCGCTTCCCTGCAGGAACAGCCCACGGCCGTGCCTGGCTGGGGCAGCGACGGGGCACGAGCAGCAGGACGTGGCCACCACGCGCTCCCCGGGGCCACCA